GAATAATCGATTAATCGAAAAAATAATCGTTAGATTAATCGATTAGAAAATAATCGTTTGGTACAGCACTAGTTCAAAGTGACAGAAATCTGTCGTGGCGATGGAGAACTTTAAGCCCTGTGTCATTTTGATTCTTGTAGATTGTCTCAACTCTCCACACTTGATGTTTCATTATCCACATCAGGGTGACAACCCTAAATTTGGAAACCACCAGTGTTCAGATGACATTTACTTTTTCCAATTTCTTTATTTATGCTCCCATTTTTTAAAAAGGCAGTGAAGCAAAATTAATTTTAAGTGAAGTGGACATGTATAAGTATCTCCGAGGGAAGAATGGAGCTTGGGTTCAAAAGACAAATCAATGCAGCTTCCTCAGAAGTGTGGACTTTGTACCGGGACTTTTGGGGTGAAAAGGGAGCTGAGCTGTAAGGTGAAGCTCTGTTAACCAGCTGGTTCCCACCCTCACCTATGGTCACAAAATCTGGGTAATGACTGAAAGAACAGTATCACAGATTTAGGTAGTTGAAACAAGCTTTCTAGGGAGGTTTTCCATGGATGTCCAACTAGGATGAGAACCAGGGGAAGACCAAAGACACGCTGGAGAGACCAAGTCTCTCAGCCATTCTGGGAGTGACTTTGAGTCCTCCCAGAACAGCTGGAAAAAGTGGCTGGGGAAAGAGAGGTCTGGGCCTCCTTGCTTAACCAGCTACCATCATGACACAACTTAAAGACAAGTGGAAGACAATGGAAAGATGGAAATTCATTTTTAGATGACAAAAATACCTTTAAATTGAAAAAGCCTGGACAACTAATCTTTCCTTGTTGTGCACAACTTTTTGAAACCTCTAGCAGGAAAAAGTTTTAAACACGATTTAATGCTGGTTATGTATATTTTTTCAGTATTTGTAAAACTCCACACTGTAACTGTTCTTACAGAAACACGAAAAGCTGAATTACCTGACAACAGCACTGTGCCATGTCCTTTTGGAGAAGTCAGAGCCAGCTGGTCAAACGTCATCACCTGACCTCCTGCCTTAAGGATCCTGCGGCGGGCGCCGTCAGTTATCCTGAGAGCACAGATCTGTGTGACAGGAAAAAAATTTAGAGCCTTGAAATGTTTATCAGTAAACTGACATTTATAGAAAAATATACACTGTATATAATTGAATAAAGTAAAAATATATCCAGCTTGAGGGAAACTAACCTTGAGCTTGGGGATGTCCTGAATCCTGACATCATCAGTGACACTTCCCACAACAACTGCAATTTTGTTCTCGCGGCCAGCCATCTTCATCTTGCGGATCTGGTCAGAAGATTCAACAAGTAAAATTTATTCCATGACTGAAAAATAGACAAGTAGCAGTGTTTCCCCTTGGAAATTGGCCTTGGGGGGGTGCTTGTTTTATGAAAACATAAATTTACGTGACTCACCTGCAATTACGGTAATAAATTTACACATGCATGAATATTTAATTGCCTAACTACATCCTAGTTAAGGACTCTTCATGATAATTATCAATAATTATTATTGATAATAAGTGATTAGAACTGTGTGCAGCAGATGATCTGAGTCCAGAGTTCTCAGTTTGAAATCTTCTGGAGCTCTTCTGTAGTGTACTCTAGGTGTGACAGAGTGTGGATGGTTGATTGTCTCTTTGTCCCCGATGGAGACTGGAGACCTGTCCAGGTGTCTCTGGTGAACTGGAGACCTGTCCAGGTGTCTCCTG